CTCTGCTCTTCTCTCTGATATGAGGCGCATGTGGCGCCAAAATCGCCCACAAATACATATTTTGAAATACAGCGCCGCCTGTCGGTCAGTGTGAGCGCTGCAGCGCTGAGTCTCCGTTCACATCTGTATAACAGGATTAAATTCAGAATCAGACTTTATTAGAAGTGAATCAGCAAGATTAGAACACTCAAACGGCGGATCTGCATTTATAACGTATTTCCGTATAGCCTCTCCCTCTTTCTTTACCTCTTTCTTTCTTTTTTCTTACTATCCTTCCTTCTCTTTCTCTCTCTCTTTCTTTCTTAACCTCTTTCTTTTTTCTTACTTTCTTTACCTTTCTTTTTCTTACCATCATTCTTTTTCTTTCATTCGTTCTTTCTTTCGTATTACTTTCTTTGATCGTCTTTCTCTCTTTTTTCTTTCTTTGAATTTCTTTTTTCTTCATCTATTTCTTTCTTACTTTTATCTTTTTTCTTTCTTTTTCTTTCTTTCTATATATCTTTCTATTACTGATTTCTTCTCCTTTTCCTCCTTTCTTTTCTCTTTTTTCATTCTTTCTTTCTCTCTTTCTTAGAGCATTTTTTTCTTTTTCTTTCTTTTTTCTTTCTTTGAATGTCTCTCTTTCTTTCTTTGAACTTCTTTTTTCTTTCTTCCATCTTTTTATCCCTCAGTCTTTCTTTTTCTTTCTTTCTTTCTTTTCTTTTTCTTTCTTTCTTTAACTCTTTCTTCCTTTCTTTTAGTCTTTCTAGGTTCTAGGGCTATTTTGTCTTGCAACCAGTGTATTTCTGTATATGTTATGTAGAAATTTAATGTCTAAATAAATATTATATTATTATGTTAGAGTTTAAAGTTGCAAATAGAAAAAAAGAAATGGAATAAGAAAGAAAGAAAGAAAGAAAGAAAGAAAGAAAGAAAGTGGACTGAGTGACCCACAACCAGCCCTGCACCTCACAAAAATACAGAAGTATTTAGTATGATGTATTAATGTATTTCTGTTGACTCAGCAGTTTAATTTTGTTTAATTAATGATAAATTACTTCATGTTTTATTTCGAGCTGTTTAATTTCTTACTACATGAATCAAGCGGAGGCCGCTGAGTGAAACCATGATGAGGGTTCCACAGTAAATCCTGTATGTGGGCTCATCCTGCCCCCTGCTGGCCATAATCAGTCAGTACAGCAGGAACTGAATTTCAAGCATTCAGATGGAAAATGAGACTTTTACACCGGTTATGGTCACTTTGAAAGGACACGTTGTTAAAGATCACCGATTAAACCATTCAAGCCCAACAACAACATTCAATACAGGAAAAATGACTCAGAAATTCTTCTGATTGATCAAAACTGATGAAATTTTGTACAGTTACATGAACACTGACAGTCTTAAAGGGCACACTGGAATGGTTACATTTAATTTTCATACTTTTACTCATAATTAAATTTGTATCTTCTATTGTTTTGTTTAAAAAGTAGCCCCATGTGACCAGAGGACCATGATGTTCCACAAGTTCCCATGTTTCTACTTATTCAATATTTCAAGGTTTTAATATGTAATATATATGTAACATTTGTCAACTTAAATTAGTTTTTGCCCAAGTATGATGATATAAGTCTGTATTTTTCGACACTAAAACAAAATCAGGACTTTTAGACAGTTTAATATATATATATATATATATATATATATATATATATATATATATATATATATATACCCTTATACCCTATAGATATACCCTTACACCACAAAACAGTTGAAATGACCTTAAATGACCTTTTCCTCTTTTCTTTAGGACTGTTAAGTATGATTTTATTGTTAAAAGTACATTTTTAGCCCAGGTTTATGAGCAGAATCCCTCCCCCTCTCTGGTTGCTATGCAGCTCCATATGCTGCAAGAATTCTTATATTTAAAATCAGGATTTTGACAGTTATTCATCTACAATATCCTCAAACACGGCACATCATCATCACTTTGTGTTTGGTGTTGCTCTTAAACGTTTATGCTATTGAGTGTTGATAAAGTAAGGTATTTTATCAGTACATGGTCCATTCTGCTGAATTAGCTGAATTATTAAGTATTCAGACTTTAATTAGCTGATTTATGGAGTATTCAGACATTAAAGATTCACAAGGATCGTGTTATGACCTGTAGAACATTAATAGAGGCAGTAATAAGCTAAACAGATACAAAAATCCTCATTTATAGGGCACATTTTATGGAGAGGAGGCAAAATCTAACCTCTAAATTTACGAGTGTGAAAATAACACGTTTTGTTTTTAAAAGATCTTTTTGACTTTTTAAGTGAAGTTTAAATATATATGAGCATAAAAGAACTATTCAGAAAATGCCGTCTCACATTTTCATGTCCCTACTGAAACACAGTTTTAATCAAGAGGCAGAGCCTTATTTTAGCCACGCCCCTGCATTTTTTAGCGTGAAATAAGGCTGCATCCCTGTCCCTCATGGCCACATGGTGAGCAGTTAGATCCCATTGTTTTGAAGTAAATATGTCCCATAGTCTGTAAATTGCCACTACTGAAAAACATATTTTCTGCAATTAAGTACTTTTTGTGCTGTTCAAAGCTGGGTTTGCTTGTCATGTACTGCAAAAAAATGGTGTCTTGTCAAGTAAAATTATCTTAAATATAGTCAAAATCTAATATTTCTCCTGTTGAGGTTGTTGTAAGCTTGATTTAATATTATTCACCTTATTTCTAGATATTTTCACTTGTTTTAAGTAATTTTATTAATAAAACTATCTCACTATATTGGCAGATCATTGTGCTTCTTTTAAAAAATGAGCTTGAAACCAGCAAAATGATCTGCCAGTATAGTGAGATAATTTTAGGTAATAAAATGACTTAAAACAAGTAAAAAATCCGGGAATTAAGCCAGATAATCTTATAATAAGTGCACAACCATCTAAAAATGGGAAATATTATGTATGTCAACAAGACCATCACACTTAAGATCAACACACTAGATAAGATACTAATTTTGATTTCTGCTCAAAATGAGCTAAAATTATCACTAACGAAACCGTCATCACTGAAACATGTGGTAAAGTTTCGGTACGGTTATGATTGTTTTTGGTAGTGACAGAAATGGAAGGTTCAATCATTTGTTTTAATAAAATAAACATAATTAAGCTACAGCATCACTCAAAGCAAAAGGATTTTAGTCTAAAGTGAAAGTTAAAAGTCTGAAATGTGTGTTTTGAACTCTGAGTAATTCAGTAGAGTGATTTATATACAAATGATAAAAGTTGTGTTCAGAGTCAGTCGGCCTTTAATCCCAGATGGTCCACACAGCTTCCTGCTGCCAGTGCAGTTCTACATGTAGCCTTTTCTTTCAATATATTCACAGGCGGGGGTGAAGTAGCCTAAACCACACAGCAGGAAAAAACGGTTAGTTCAAAAATACTTAGGAAAGTACAAATTCATCAACATTTCACTGAACTACATGTAACTGAGGAAGTGTAGTTATGGGGCCTCATCAGTGACATATTTTCCAAATATATCATAAAATCACTACCAGAAAATACTTAAATGAACAAGTTAATAATCGTAAGCTTCCTGAACGATTTTCTTAAAGAGCACCAGAAGGATCCAGACAGAAAACCTCTTTCCGGAAAGGAAACTATTATTTCATTTTTATGGACTCAATTTTATGGAAATGCACTGAATTTGAAGGGGATCTCCACCAATTTTCCAAAAAGTCTTTCAGATGGGCTCTATTTGGAACAGCTAATTATAGAATTATAGAAAAACTCAGATGTCCATACTGTGGTGGTGATAGGAACCAGACATGATCAGTGCACACGTGTCTTCTGAGCTCTTCTGTTACATTTTTAATGTTGATAATGATACAGTAGTGGAAAATTCAGAAAAAATAAATATTTCTTTGGTTACTATTTTACCTTTAAACACCCTGCATGTACCTCTCCGCCATTACTGAACTAAAATAAAAACATTTTAGCTCAAACTCTTATCTCATAACTATCATAACTAACATAAAATAATATCTCAGGCATCAGGCAGTGCATTGTAAATATTGTTCATATAATAAGTCTCTGTAAAGGAGCTTTTAGAGATGTCAGAGTCTTTGTGTGTCTGGTTCCCATCACTACCCATGTGGAACAATTCGGACTTGGTAAATTTCTCTAGAAAGCTTTTCACATCAAACCACTCTGAATGACCAATTATGTCTTAACTAGGTAATAACGCTGAAATTTCAAAAATGGTGGAATTCCCCTTTAACTGTCAGGTCAATGAGTAAAGCACAAAAAAGAGAAACATGTATATATATATACATATATATGAAAATCATAACACCATGCAAAGAACCATTTATGCATGAAATGGTTCTATATAGAGCACATTGTACTGAACAAAAGATATATGTATATATATATATATATATATATATATACATAATTATTATTATTTAAAAAAGTGGTTATGATTTCAAGCTTGTAACTATAGCAGAACCCTTTTTGGTACTATTTAGAACCATACAAAACACATTCAAAACACATTCTCACCAATGGTTATTTAAGTGTTCATTGTCTTTGACTCTTAAAGAACCATACATATATATATATATATATATATATATATATATATGTATATACACACATGTATATGTATAGTGAAGATGGTTCTTTAAGAGTGTGCATATGTGTATATATATATATATATATATATATATGTGTGTGTGTGTGTGTGTGTGTGTGTGTTTATAGCTCTGTACCAACCCCAGTCTTGCATTTTCATCATCACATTTTCGACTTTAAGGTATTCGGTTTCATTTGTTGTTATAAACTTATGAGTCATAAAAACTCGTCAAACTGGCAACAGCCTGAGCGGGAAACCCGCCCAGGGTGGCGCGTAGCTGTGGCGGCAGTTTGCAGCGGGAACTTAAAGCCCAACCGGAGAAAGAGCGAGCGGTAATAGAACACGGTGGGCGGGGGGGTTCGTTTTAGCCCCGCCCCCGTTGCTTCTAAGAACCCTGACGTAGGCAGCAGGAGCGGGTAGCAACAGTTGCCTCGAGACCCCCGGCCGGCGCGCCATAGTGACTGTAGTCGTGGAGACAGTTACTTACCAACGAGAGCAACACTCAGCAACAACATCAGCAGCAGCGGAGAGAGTGGGAGAGAGAGAGAGAAAGAGAGAGAGAGAGTGGAGAAAAGAGAAAAGACAGCAGATCTTACTAAACACAAGGTGAATATTCATCTTTACTGGTTAGAAAAGACAGATTTGTTTTCTGTTGCTTATTGAATGTTGTTTTTTTCCCTTCGTCCTAACTCTTCGTTAGCTTTCTCAGCTGCTCGTGTCAGTTTAACGGTCACTTGTGGCTAAAGTAGTAATAAAGCACAGTTTGTTCGCAGTCCAGCTCGATTAAAAAGCTCTCGGTCGTCTGGTTGGATGTTCGTGTACTCGCTGTGATGTGTCAGGGTCCGAGCTAGTGAACTTACGGTGGATGTTAGCTAGGCTAGCTAGGGGAGCTAACCAAACCGAGCTAAACTTCAGACTGAACAGTTTTATAGACGAGGCTGAATTCATATTCGCCAACGTCTTGTTCGAATTCAACCGTTCCACCTTAAATGGTGGAGCAGTTAACGTTAAACTCAGGCGGTCGAATCCTGGCGAGTAGGAAGTCAACTTGAGCTTCGTGTTTGCAGCTGCTGGGTTCAGCGTTAGTTAATCTCAGTTTCTGTTTTCTCTGTGTGGTTTTCAGTGGGTTTAATCTGTGATGCGCTTTGTTAGTAGTAGTAGTAGTTGCATCTACTGGACCCCGAACCCGCACTGCCTCGGCGCGGTTTGGCTGTTCTGCCCGGGTAGCTCAGTCGGTAGCGCGCTGGACCCTCAACCCGAAAGTCACCGTCTCGAGCGTGGCGGAGTCGAAGCAGCTAGTTAAGTTTCATGTCTTCTTGGTTTCCTGTGTGGAGGCAAATGCTCGCTAGGACGCATTTCAAGCAGCTCTAACAGCTCTTACCACAGTGATCCATTCAGGCTGGAGCGAAATGCCTCTTTCTCAGCTCGGACGGAGGCAACAGGTTGTTGGAGCCAGGCTGAATGTGCGCAGCAGCAGCCAGGAGAAAACTCAGAAACGGTGGGCTTTGCATTGCAAATGTTTGTAATATCAGTAACCAGAATCGTTTGGTTTTTCCGTTCAACTTGGGTCCTCGTTAGGGTGCATCGTGGTGCAGTGGCAGCTGAAGGCAAATGTAAGATGACCTGCCTAAAACGTTAGCTAAAAGTCCCCGTCGCAGTGCTGTTCACGTAGAAATAGCAATAAAAGTCTTTATTTTTTTGGTTTCAAAGGGGCATTCCACCGATTCTTCAAAATTTCCGCTTAAATCAGTGGTTGAGATGTAAGCAAAGTCAGAGTGGTTTGATCTGAAATGGTTCATTATAGAGAGACTTACTAACTCAGATGTCTTTCCAGTGGTGGTGATAGGAACCAGGGGTCCTGATGTGTACAACACAAATATAAATATTTTATTTCCTTTCCAAAGACGCCAGTTAACCTACTTGTGTCTTCTGAGCTTCTAGATGTGATGATGACGATGATGGTAAAATCTTGGTAAATCTGAAAAAAATAAGTTGGGGACTATTTTGCTTCATGTGTCCCTCCGTCATGAATAGATTAAAATAAATATATCATGCTTTAGGCCAAACTTTTATCACAAAACTACCATTAAACAATGTCTCGGGCATCAAGCTGAGTATTCATAACCATTTCATGTAATAACTTTCTGGGAGGAAGCTTTTAGAGGTGGACGTCTGGTTCCTATCACCGCCACTATGAACAGTTCTGACTCTTTAAGTTTCTCTAGAACGAAGCACTCTGAATGACTTTGTTCACATCTTAACTATTTAATTGTGGAGGTTTTGGCAAATCAGACTAATTTATCCTCGAAAAAACTGCATATGTGCAAAAATTAAGTTAGAGTAAAATGCATTAGTAGTAAATTTCCTAGGGAAAAAGTTCCTACGTTTAGAGGAGGCTAACCTGCTTCTCGTTGGATAAAATCATCAGTAACCTGTAGCTCAGCGGAGAGCAGATCCCAATAATTGCTCACTTTGGTATAAAAGACTCTTGCAGTCTTCCGTATTCATTCTTTTATACGAACTGTTGTGGACGTCATGCTTAGTTTTGCCTTATTACCGTATTACACAGCTTGCAAAAGGTAGTTGAATGAGCTCTTACAGTGTTGAATTAACACAGAGAACATTCAAACCTATAGGAGTCAGAGGTTGTAAGAGCTAATTCATCACTACAAGTTAATCCAGCACTGTTAGTTAATTAGTCAGCAGTTAATCAATATAGGTGTTAATTGAACACCATGGGTGTTGTCGTATGTCCTTTTCCTTTCTTCTTTAAAACCTATAATAGCCAGGTGTAGCTGTGTATATATTTTAAAGCAGCCTAATTGCTGTATGTGTACAATAGCAGGCATCACCCATGACATTTCTTCAGTAATAATTGTAGCTGATTCTGACCAGTGATGCCAGTGTAAATTAAATTACGCATTATGCTCTGCATTCAGATCTGACAAGCACAGGGGAGCTGTTCGTCGGGCGCTGACGGCCTTGACAACGGCTCGACTCCTCTCATTGGAACCGGCTGTCATTTTTTTGGCGGGTAGCAGGCGTGTCGCCGTGGCGATGTTACACCTGCGCGGCGGAGAGCGGCTTAATGAGCCGCTCTTCATGACAATGGTCCACGGACCAGGTGTCGGCCGGCGCTCGCCTCTGCCTGGCTATTGATCTCTCTTTAGCCGCGAGTGGCCATGTCTCTGAAAGCCGGGCTGATAATGAGGGTAATTGGCGCACAGAGAGGGAGGTACAGAGAGAGAGAGAGAGAGAGAGAGAGAGAGAGAGAGAGAGAGAGCGAGAAAGAGAGAGCTGGGGCTGATGCAACACGTCGGCCACTCTGACTGGCAGCCCGCTAATCACATTACGACGGTCCTGATCAGTCGGCGCATTAGCGCCCGCTCTGATTCCGCTTGTTAAGGAGCGGGCTCGGCCTGTCAGAGCGATCGCTGGGGTGTGGAGCCTGGCAGAGCGGCAGTGCCCTCTCGAGAGCTGCTGACGGGGAGGGGGAGTCTAGCGTGCGTCCCTTTTAGACGTGAATTGTCAGGTGCGGCGGTGATTTCTGGACTGCTGGAGCAGAAAACCTCCGCTAACAATCTTTACCGAGCGACAAGGGTCTCCTAAGACCGGGATCTGGTGACTGGGTAAAGAAATATGTTGTCACAGGTGCATTTCCAGGCAGGATTCGTCTTCCCTGTCGAGGACTGAATGATTCATATAATTGGGGTTAATTATTGATGGGGCCAGACGCCTGCTTCCTGGCCAAAGTAACGTCCAGTTTGTCAAAGAAATAGGCCTTGGCCCTTAGAATGTGTCTATTTTCTGTGAGAGCCTGAAACTTATACAGTTTTACTGGTAGTTTGTATCCTCAATCCCATGTTCTGGTTCAATTTGTGTGGCCGATCAGCCTCACGTTCTGTAAATCTCCGCCTCAAACTATATACTACCTTCAAAAATGTACCCATTCCGCCACAATGTGGCAAGTCCGATCTCAAATCTCCAAATGAAATGGAATAACACACCGCAGATGTGTAGATAATTACAGGTTTGTAATTGTTCAGATATCTGAAGAAGGGATTAGTGTAAAGCTGCGGGCAAATTCAAAACCATTTGTTCGCTTGTTTTGACAAAGCACTCCGTTTCGGCCCGAGCCTGAATCAGGCTTTTAATTCGGTCACACACACCCTCCATAAAGAAAATAAAGGAACAGGAGTGAAACTCCACGCCAGCCAAAAGCCGAGCAGCTGGCGTGTTTACATGGCAACTTGATACACAAATACAGGCTGAGTAACGGAAAGAGAGCGCAGGCCTCAGGGCTTTAGCCTCAAGCTTTCAGAAGCGAGTCATTTTTACAGTGGAATTATAATTATTTTTATTGTTGTCTCTGATGGTGGTAAAGGAACGGTGGGGCTTTGGCTTCAGGAGGCAGGTCAGAGGGCAAAGGTGGAAGGAAGAGAATGTAGGTGTGGAGGGAGAATTTAGCTCCAGTTCTCTACTCCAGCCTGGAGGCCTAGCACTTGCTAGTGAAATTTTGCATGTGTAAATACTTTCATTTAAAGGGAGCAATGAGCAACTTCGCCCTGCGTACTTCCAGACTCAACTGTGGTGTACAGTTTGGACACAGTTTGACCACTAGCGCTACTCTGAAGGGGCGAGGCTTCGTATAGCAGCACTAACTGTCCAACAGGGAATGCTAACGTAACTAGACTCTAAGCACAAGCCTCTTAACATCTCTTATCCGCTAGCTACAGATAAACGTATGAAAAACTGCAAGATATGCATTAGGTACAGAATATATGTTGTGTTATTTTCTTTATTTTTGTATTTTTATTTACTGTTTATGGTAGGTGGCTAACTGCAATGTTAGCTCCTTGGCTAACTGCACTTGCACACAAGTCACCCACTGTCATCAGCCAGGTTGGTTATCTCTATATTTTTACTACAGATTGGTTATAATTATGATGACATTTGTTTTTTTGTGTTATGGTTAGCGAGTTAGCAAGCTTGCTAACTGCACCAAAACGATTTTTTTGTTGCCAGTCTTTCCAGACCAGCCTCTGGAAGTTTGACGCAGCATGAATTGTAAATGTCTAGTTTGTTTGTTAAGCTTTCTCATTTCTATTAATTACTGTTAGCCTATATATATATATATATATATATATGTATATATATATGTGGCGGTGCTGTCGGAATAAAACATTGTATCTCCATTTTTGCCGTTTTTCAGTTTTTGACATTATTTGAAAAATGCTTGTTGCTATTTACAATGTGTGTAAATTTCATGATGAATGGACCAAAAGAAACGGCCCAAAACGACTTGGAAAAAAATCTGTTTCCATTGACTTACATTAAAAGTAAAGTAAGTTTTTTTCCTTCTCCTGTAAAGTGACCATTTTGGAGATACTTATTTTTCTTATATATAAAATCTCGCTGTTGTCGAAACAAAACCTCATATCTCCAAAGTAACAACTTTACAGAAAAAAGAGAAAAAAAACATACTTTACTCTTAATGTAAGTCAGTGGAACCAGACTTTTTTCCAAGTAATTTTGGGCTGTTTCATTTGGTCCATTCATTGTGAAATTAACCCACAATGTAAAGGGAAACAGGCATTTTCAAAATA